CTATTCTAACATAAATACAAATCAAATTGATGTGAAGTGTTATGATACGAGATATTTCTTTCAAGTGTATCTTCAACATGATTTTAGATAAAAAATCTGTTTTTCTAAGCTTCTCGAATCCCCCCGGGTTCTTATAAGCTCGTGAAGGTAAGATTTTATTCCAAAGTCTTGTGAGATCTTTGTCTTTGATGAAAACCCTTCAAGAACACCTTTTTTGGATTCAGAATGGATCTTCTAAATTATGTTTAATCTCCAAATCAGGTTAACTTCGGGAAGTCTAGTTCTGAGAGAGATTCAAGCCCTTACCAAAAGAGATGAAGTACTGTCAATGAATGATTAAATTTCACAGTAGGTTGACTAGTGTATATGAATAAGGAAGACCTCCAACCATGTAGTAAACTAGTAAAGATCTCCGAGAAGGTTTTCTGTATTTACATGTGCATTAAGTCAGGAGGACTTGATTTCTACACAGGACAGTTTATTGTTTTTTGCCATGCTTCTAGCGCACTGGCTGAATGTTGCGTTGATCCTGAAGGGTTTATTCAAGTTAGGTGATTTTTATCATAAAGATATCCATGAAGCCAGTATTTGATGAAGATAAAAAGAGCATTCTTATTTTTTATCTTTACGTTTTTTATTATGCTTTAAGGAGACCTTTTTCTTATGGCCACACCTCCCTGACAGCATGTTCTACCTTACAGACTGTGTTGATCCTAAACCTGTACTGCAACCCCCAGAACTCGGCCAAATCAGCTGATGGATCCCACTGTAAGTTGTCACCAGGACCTTTTTCATTAGAAAGCAGATGACAGGCATTGGTTAGAAAGTGCAAAAATTAATTCGGTGATACTACAGTATATTCAGTTTACTGATGATTTTTTTCCTTCAGTAGAATAGGGATTGAAGAGAGTCAGATAGGTATAGATAAGAAGCTTAGATAAAGATAAGAAGAGAGGTAGGAAATCATACATCAGAAGGATGTAAAGATGGATAATTAAAGATTTCTAAGATAAATAGAATAAGAAACAAAAGGTTATAATTAGAAACTGATTAAGCATTCCTAGTTCTCTATCAAGAGACTGACATAACACGGATACTAACCTCTCCTTTATCATTTCCTTGGGACTAGCAACGGTCAGCGATGAGGAGATGCAGGAGCACTACGACAACTTCTTTGAGGAGGTTTTCGTGGAGTGCGAGGATCGGTATGGAGAGATCGAAGAGATGAATGTGTGCGACAACCTTGGGGACCATCTTGTTGGCAATGTGTATATAAAGGTCAGATAAGTGCTTAAGAAATTTTATTGTGGATTGTGGAATCTGTTTTAATTTTAGTATTGGTTAAGGTATATTTAAGTCCTTAACCCACTAATGGCAGTATATTTTGAAGCCAAAAATAATAGTTTCTGGGCAGCTACAAAATCAGCATGCGGGGCTGGCCCGGAATCTGCCCGCTCACCGGCCGTGGCCTGCGACGGAATCGGAGCACAAGCTCCGATCCAACATCACGCTGGCAATGTTTATTGTTCCAGGTGTCACATATATGGGACACCTATTGTAAATGGGTTAATCAGTAAAAGATTCTTTAATATTCTTTTTTTTCTCTCTCTCTATTTTCTTTTCTTCTGACTCATATTGTCTTAATAATGTAGGATCTTAATATAAGGAAATAACATGTAAGCAGAGAGAAAAAATTATATCTTTCCCTTTTTAATTCATACAGTTCAAATATGAAGAAGATGCTGAAAAGGCTGTTGTGGACCTCAATAACCGGTGGTTTGGGGGTCGAGCAATCCATGCAGAGTTGAGTCCTGTAACTGACTTTCGAGAGGCATGCTGTCGTCAGTATGAAATGGGGTCAGTATTTGTTTTCTTGTTTGCCTGTGAGTACTGCTTGTTTAAGGTCTTAGTAAATTCCATTAGCTGGTAGGAATCATATGAAATAGTAATTTTTTCAACTGTAAGATACATTATATATAAGAAAATTTTTCTTACGATATAAGCCCCATGGCACTATAAGTGCTTAGCCACAAAGGAGGCAGTTGGTAGACCTTGTGACTTCACCTGATTTCACCTTTCCTTGAATTTACAGAAAAAAAACTTTTTTTTTTTTTAGTAATGCTATCAATATCGATGCTGTTATTATCATTATAGACATTCTGATTATTATAATGTCATTGACGAGAGAAGCAAAGATATATGACACCATGAAATATTTCCAATAATCAATGAAAAGGATAAGCAGGTGAAATAGGTATTAAGCTCATTTATGACTTAGTATTTGTAGTGCTATCTGTGTCTAAATACAATTAATAAATTAGATTTACTGTGGGCATGGTATGTATGTACAGCTACAAAGAAAACTACATTAGGAGGGGTGTTGAAAGATTCAATATCGAATAGACCCTTATGTTATGGAAGAGTTCGTATTTTTGGTTTTGAATTTGTCTCATGCAGTTTCATTTCTTGAATAGTCGTTCCAGAACTCATATGGATTCACTGTAAGATGGTGATTATATGGAATATGCCTTGGAATATTCAGATAAGCCACACATAGCGAAAAGTAATTGGAAAATTAAGGATACCAACAGTTTCGTAGTGTTATCTATATTTCGCTAAGTATAGTTGCTTGTGTCAGAATATTTAGCATTATTTCCTTACGATATTTTTTTGTGTAACCGTGTAGACCATCCTTGGTAGCAGCAGGTTAAAGGTTTCTGAAAATCATATTAGTTTTAAACACATGAATAGTATATAAAACATTATTCTCATTTTACACTTCCATCAACAGAGAGTGCACACGCAGTGGATTCTGTAACTTCATGCATCTGAAACCAATTTCTCGAGAACTCCGCAGAGAATTGTATGGACGGAAGAGGAGGAGGTGGGTGGCTTTTTTGCAAGTGTCAGAACATATAATTAACAAGAATTTTGTCTGAGATATTTTTTTCTTTCTTTCTTTTTTCCTTTTTTTTGGGGGGGGGGATATACAATGTTAATAATGTTCTGTAGAACCAAGAAAGATTTTGACATTGTCACCATCATCAACTAGTAATGCACATTTATTGTTAATTGGAAACAGACTTGACAAAGTTTTGTGTATTCATTTCATGCTACGATTTTACTAGATTCATTTCTTTACCATAAGAGATACCAAATAACATATTAAGTTAAATTTGCCTGTAAGGGGGGCACATGATCATAAGGATATATTTTATCTGAAGAAATCCTTTCTGTAACAAGTCTTTGATATTGAAGTGGGCTCCCCCTCGCCTTCTATCTAAAATGAAAAAGAAATTTGTAAGATAAGTTTCTTTTCTATATTTCCCAGATCTTGAAATGCATTTCAGTCTTTCATATAACTTTTCTCCATACCTTGTTATTTTTGGACTACATCACAAACCTACATGTATTCCAGATCACACTCCCGAAGTCGCCGCCGCCACAGGTCGAGGTCGAGGTCACGAGAGCGTAGGCGGGAGAGCAAGGATAGGTCATCGGTGCTTGACAGGTTCTCCGCCCATTCTCAGGACAAGGATCAGAGGGAAGGGAGATTTGGTCGCTACTAAGCAAGGGGTGGCTCTGGTGGCATTGCATTGTGGTTTTTAGGTATTTAAATTATTTAACATAGTTTGTTAAATCATTTCATTCATATGTATGTTTGGGATTGTCAATAAGCCGGGTTAAAACCATTTAGAGGTTATTGAATTTTATTCTCATTATTTGTCACAAGAAGAAATAATGGTAATGATAATAACTGTAACATTAATAATGATGATGAAATGCAGCCATTAAATAGAGGTCATTCTCAACTTGCAGATGGAAAGTGGCAATATCAGGTTATGTAGTTGCAATAAGGAGAGAATTCACATGTGCAAAATTGTGTTTTATGTTGCAGCTATTTGATCCCTCCATTAATTACCCTTGACATGGTTCCATTTTATGACATTTACTTCCTTATTTGATATTGGACGAAGGCTTTCCTAGTAGTTAGAAGATGATGATGTGTTTAAGTATCTGACATTAATTCATAGCCTGGAAACTATTTGTATGAATACTTTATCCTGTAAAAAGACAAAGCCCTAGGTATAGTTTCGACTCTTTGACTGAGTAAGTAGTACATTTGTTGAATTTTAGAAAGTAATATAATATTTTAGGATTTTCTGTGGAAGGTTCAAGGCCACAAAAAGATCTCAGTAAGGTATTTAGGTTTTATTTTGTGCGTGATGAATATTACCACTAATACTGTGATGGAAAAAGTGATAAAAGTAACCTTTGATTGCAAAGATTATTTATTTATTGGCAAAAGGAAAGAAATTACTACTCAAATAAAATTCTGGCACAGGTGTGTAAAAATCTGAAATGGATGGCACTTTATGGCAATGATAATAAAAATTAATGTTTCTTCATAAACTTTAAGGTGAAGCTGTAACTAAGGTAGCTTTAATTTCCTAATTAAGTTGATATAGAGGGAGAAATTAGCATGGTACAAATATTAGTGCAGCCAAAAAAGATTTTAAAAAATCAATGTCAATCTATTCTCAAACAAGGTCTAAATCATCTTATGGATTTGCTCAATATGGTGTCAAGTGAAGTAAAGACCACAGAAGGCTAAACGACTTATCACTCCATGCAACTGGGATTGAATGCAAATGTGAGACACTGTGCTTTGTATTTTATTTGGCTTTTAAGATTTGTGAGGATTAGACTTTGTGTGATTGAGAGAGGAAAAAGACTGAAGTTGCTCACTTATACATAATTGGTAATCTTTAAAAGGGTATTTTATGATTAATTTGCATAGTGCCACTTAACACTAACATGGGATTCTTATTAACCTACTCACAACAGAATTTCCTGTTACCATTCTAAACCATGTGCCAGTTGGCATGTGTGGTCAGCCACTTGAGGGAGAAACTAGAAGCATGGGAAGCTTAAATTTCCCCCATTCTCTGTGCTCTTCGCTGCAGTGTAAATGATTGTATATCTGATGAGGCTAATATAAGGCTTTAAGCATACATTCTCCTCAGTGACTGCAGTCAGGGCCACATGATTGAATGTTGTCCTGGTGTGGGTGAGGGTGAGGGATTGGCTATAGCATGATGGGATGTTATCTGTTGTGAATGGGTTAAGCCTGCAGTTATGCTGTATGGGAAGTGCTGCCAGCTGAACTGCTTTTACTAATATATTACGGCTAATTGTAAATGAGTACATCCTGAGTGGTAGATAGTATAATATCCAATGTTATTTTATATTTTAGTCTTAATACATATAATCATTCTGATAATTGTTCACAAAGCATAATTGTCACAAGACTATAGTAACTAATATTTTGGAGAAGGTTATGTGAACAAAAATCTTCAATGCTTTTGTAGAAGTAAAAGAATTTTTAGCAATGACTGTCATGTATCACAATATATATTTTGGTATCAGTTTCTTTCCTTTGGTGCATTTTTTTTTTTTATAATAAGGATGTTTTGCAGGGTCTCATGAGTAAGGTTAATTGCACGTGTGTAGAAATAAATTTTAGCTCAGAGTAAATGGAAGGGAAGCTGTTTTAATGATAAGGAAAGCTAAGGTGCATCATCTTGTGAGGCAAATATATGTTTTTTTTTTAATGAATATTTAATGTTTTTTTTATTATTAACTTATTCACTCTCTTTGATTATATATATGTATATTTTTCCCTTCTTTTTTCTGGGAAGAATTCATGAAGTTCTGACTGAAAAAGTTTGTAAATTTATTTGCCAACTCAGATTTTACGTTTATATTTAAACATGTAACACTTGTTCCTCATTTTATTGCGAGTTATTTACATGATTTGTTAGCATGTTTTAAGAATTTTGTGTGTTTATTTTTTATGGACATTTATTTATTTATGTACTCTCATTTTAATCAACAAATACATATACTGATTTTTTCTTATTTTTGTACTTCTGTAATAGGCTAACAAAGTAACCATCATAAGTGTCAGTGTCTGAAAATATATAAATGGTCTTTTGACAAGATAAAGAGATGTCAACCTCATGCTGTTAAGCAAGTCCAACAATAAAATATACATTTGATTTTTTTCTCATTTTACCATTTTCTGTTTATTTTTGTGGACATTAGCAAGTAAACTTAATATAAAAAGGCAACTATAGATAACCAATTAATATCCAAACTAATACTGTTAAGGGGAAGATTGGGGACATTGTTCTTGAAAGACGGTTACAATTAATAGTATTGTAAGGCCAAGATTTGTTTCTGGTACCAAAAACACTTTACAGAACATCCTTGACAAATCAGTGGTAAAGTTTTCACATCTTATAATGGCAAGACCTGTAGGATAAGAATTATTTTAAAATAACCTATGTTGAACTTCACTGAAGAAAGATATGGTAGCAAAATCATAAAAAAAAAAAAAAAAATCAGCTCATTAATGCCAGGAGTGCATTTTCCTATATATTTCTTTTCCCACATGGATGGCTCTGCAAGCACTTATATTCATATGCTTGAACAAGGTTTGTAAGATCAAATATTTGTGTTCATGGCATCTCACATGTGGGCATCACTTTTTTCATATGCTAAGATTAAATTTCATGTGTCACAGATTTTGTGTTTTACATGTACGTTACACAGTGAATTTGGTAAGCCTTATGTTTATGAATGGTCAGTCTTTGCAACTTTGGAATGGTTAATAAATTTCTTTATTACTGAACACAAATATCTTGATAAAAGTAATTTGTAAAATAGTCTATTTAAGTCATTTTATCCTGCATTTTGTCCTAACCATTTATTTATTATGTCATGGTTGCCAGATGCATGTGAAGTACCAATGACTTGCCATATGCCACAATAATTTATATTTTCAATAAAATGCATTTTCAATCATTGTTGTTTTGCTACATATTCTCAGCTGCACATCTAATAGTTATTGAAGCATGTTTAAGCCATTTTAAATAACCCCAATTCAATGGAATGTGGTTAATCTGTAAATTGATATTCTCAATAACAAAATTCTCATCTTAATGCAGTTTGTTGGCTATAAATTTCAGTAGAGAAATTTCACTAAGAAAAAAAAAAAAAAAAAAAAAATCACATGATTCCAGCAGTTGTGTATTGCCCAGGTGTTAAATCCCAACTGTGTCTAAGCATATTGATTTAGTATGAAGTCTACATTTTGTTGAGCATATTTCTGTTACAAAAGTCACAAAAGGAGTCCACTACTAGACCTACCAAATCTCAAGTGTTTATGTTAGTTTTTAATTTTTTCTGGAAACAGTCTAGTTTGTAATAATTATGATAACAACAATGACAAGAATGAACTTCTTGGAATGTTTTTTTCTTACTGTAAATTCAAGAAATGGGGTAAACAGGAGAGGCTGTTTAGGCAAAATAATCAACTTTCGTTCATGTGGAGACAGCCATTCATAAAAAAAATTACTCAAACAAGACCATAATGGGCAGGAAATGTTCCCCAAGCCAGTTGGCATTATCAGGGCCTTGAAGACACGTAGCTTGGTCCTTCTGCACAGGTACCAGCATCTCCAAATACTCTTGTCGAGAGAGTTCATGACCCCTGCTGCCAGGCCAATTCGTCTGCTGACTTCTTGGTCTGATATCCCTGAGTTATGAACTACACTACTAAGGTATGTAAAGCTCTCTGTGATGTCAATATCCTCACCGCAAGCATGTACCAACCAAACAGGTTCTCCTAGCAAGTCTCTAAAGTCCTGGATCTTGGTCTTGGTCCAGGAGACCTCTAGACCCAAAGGCTTCATTTAATTGCTAAATGCATCCAGAGCCACCACTAAGGTTTCCAAAGACTCAGATAGTGATATTGCCCAGAGTTGCTCCACAATGGCTTTGGACAGTAGCTCTGCCCAGTATCCAGTCCATGCAAGTGTTGAAGTGTTGGTGCAAGGACACAGCCTTGCCTCACTCCTGAACTAACAGGAAAGAAGCTTGACAGATGCCCACCACACTTTACAGCACTTTCAGTACTAGGGTATAGGCTTGCTATTATCCAATAATCCTTGTTGGAATTCATCACAGTCTCAGGGTCTCCCAGAGTGATTCCCGATACACTGTATCAAACTCTTTCTTGAGGTCGATGTAGGCTGCAAACAGCCGACAACCAAACTCACGGTGGTGCTCTACAATGACTTGTAGCGCAAGGATATGGTCTATTGTGGACATACCAGCAGTGAATCCAGATTGCTCTGTCCTCTGGTGCCTCAGCAGGTAGTTTCTGATACATCTCAGAAGAATGTGGGCGAGAACCTTGCTCGGTATACTGACCAGTGTGATGCCTCGGTGAATGCTGCAGTCCCATCGGTCCCTCTTCCCCTTCCAGAGAGGGATGACCACACCCTTCAAAAGGTCAAGGGGATTGGTACCGGACTACCATATGGCAGCTAGGACAGCATGCAACCCCCATGCCATAGGTTCACCACTAGCTTTTAACAGTTCTGCTGGGATGCTGCAGATACTCGCTGCTTTACCACTCTTCAGCATGGAGATTGCTCCTCTAACTTCAGTTAGGGAGGATGGATCCTCACTGATGGGTGGGTCCGGCAACGGAATCTCAGCACTACCCGCATCCAGGTTAACTGTCGGTGGAGACTATAATTAGAACACTCAATTTCTTTTGATACAGGTTAGCAAAATAAGTATTAAAATGTTAAACTAAATCCCTCTCTGAGTCTTTAGAAGAGATGAGCATTATCAGTCTCACATGTGAAAAAGTATCTAGCAGCCAGCACCACATATAATCTGGTAACAGAAAGCAATTGTGATTAAAATATTAAGATTATGAGTTTTATCTCAAATTTGGAGAGAAATTAAAGAAAAGTCTTGATTTAATTTTACCATTATATTTATTGCCTATAAATATATAACCATACACAAAGGGTAAAAAGCTTTTGTACAGAAAAAATTTGTGTTTCATATAGTTAGTAAATTCCTTAGAAAAAATGGCCAACAGTTATTGGTCACATATCAAAAGTTTATGTATATCAGTAGGTATTCATTGCTTATTATTCTTGGATATTTCCCTATAACAACATAATTATGGATAATACTTACTAAGTACCTATACATTACCAACAAAACTTTTTTTTTTAAGAAATGAACAAAGTGATTATCAAAACTACTGACCTGCTTTTCCAATCCTAAAAAGAGCAAGTGAACTAACACATTTCCATCATCATACTCTATGTTAAGATCTTTAGATGATCTTTCAATACATAAAGCACCCATGTACAGGCAAAACTTTCCAGCCAAGGCATTTCAAGGAAATTTAAAACACCTTGTACGATTTTGATTAAAATATTAAGCAGGTTTGGGTGAAACTAATAATTTGATAATTTGAAAATGTATTAAATGCATGAGTAATAGTTTTCCCTTCAGTAATCCAAAACAATCCAAGAATAACTTGAATCACATAGACAATTGCTTAAATACACATTTTCAAACAACTTCAAAAAAAAATTATTTATAACACAGCCAAATGTTAACTCCATACAACTATGCATGATAGCTATTACCATCAAATCTTTTAATGAAATTGGCTAAGATAATGCATGGATGATATGAGAGATGAAAGATTCAAATTTACATTAATAATCAAAACATAATAAATGCTGGAATGAAAACATGGTCAACCTGGTTTTTAGTAATGCCATCATATTGTTTAGTGCTGATCAAATGCCTTTAAGACAAAAGGAAAATCATGATAATGAGTAAAGAGGGAAAAAGAGGAAATGCACCTGGGAGAACAGGAAAGCAAGCAAAGGGGCGAGAAAGCAAAAAGACCTGTGTGTAGGAATGAATGGAGAGTTACAATAAAGAAGAGGAGGGAGGAGGAGGGAGGAGGGAGGAGGGAGGGAGGAAGAAGGAAGGAAGAAGGAAGGAAGAAGGAAGGAAGGAAGGGAAGGAAGGAAGGAAGGAAGGAAGGAAGGAAGAAGAAGAAGGAAGGAAGGAAGGAAGGAAGGAAGGGAGGGAGGGGGGAGGGAGGAGGGAGGAGGGAGGGAGGTCAGTATATCAGAGTGAAAACAGTATAAAAAATTACCCTCAGCACCTGACTCGCTTTTTGAGCAGCAGCAATGTAAATTCTGGTGTACCACAATCCCTTACCTATACAACCAAAAATACCCCAAGGGTGGCAATAGCCCCATACCTTTCTGCAATACGTAGCACGCTAAACCATTCGTATTATAATTCCTACCAACCCCCTTAGAATGAAAACCCTACATTGAATACAAATCATTCAATCCAAATAAATCCTTGGTTTCTGCATAACAATATACAATACAGTAAAGCTATTTCATACTACTACATTATGCATGTAGCAAAATGGACACTCAAGTCAAATAATGATCAATGACCTATAATATCAGGTATAATAAGGAACTATAAAAGTAATAATATTGTTGAAGAGAGTCTAAATCCAAGGAAAAAACAAAATGACAATAAAGAATACACAAAACACTTTGTTAACAAGTAAAACTTATATGCCATGGCCCAGATTCACATATTCAACCTATAATACCACATATGAAGAATGATTATAATAACCAAAAAAAATAATAAAATGAATAAAAATGGAAATAAAAAAAAACAATTTAATAATTATAATTTAAAAAAAATTGACAAAGAAATTTTATATGCACTTTTTTTGGCGTGCATTTATCCACTATATAAAATATGTTCAGGAACTTATCCATTAGGCATCCCAAGTAACAGAGTCAAATAAATACTTTGGTGGAAGAGGCTTTCTCCATACAATCTAAAATACATTGATGTTTTTCACATGTCTTTGCTACTGTATAGCCCCATGATGGATTCAGCAAAGAAAAGAGGTGGTGCAAAATTAAACCATGTCATATCGATTGCAGAGAACGTGGAAATTAAGATAAAAAAAAGAAAGAAACAAACAAACAAACAAAAAATTATTTAGTTTGTGAGCATCAACATTTCATTTGATTTTCATTTAGTGGTGGAGTTTCTTTCTTTAAAGGAATGTGTACACATTAATTTTCTGTTAAATATACACAGCATATATAACTGTATAAAATCTGTCATCTTTGAAAATCCGGCACTCTTCAAGTCCAGAGGCCAAGATTTTGTGTCAACCTTTACTCTCTTTAGTCCACTACCAACACAATGAACCAATCACTTTCCTCCTAAACAAAGTTACACAATACCATACCATAATACCAATAATACCTTTGGTAGTAATATCAAAATTCTAATTGGAAAACATACGGGCCTCTCTTACAACCCAAACATTTTCTTTAGGTATTTCCTCATGATCATAAATTTCAATTAATTGTCTGAATACCTCTATTTTCAATGCACAAAATAATAAACCTGTAGATCTGACATTTCATAACAGAGTTAAATTTGCCAAATAAACATCTGAATGTTTTTTTTTACCTATACACAAGGTCCATCTCACTTTCCATTAAAAGATCAAACCCACCATGCTTTGTGCACAAAAAAACAGCATTGTCTATATGAAAAAATCAGTAAAAAAATAATATGTCCATTCACTGTCATACCAAATGTACATATAATTTACAAAACTTCCATTATTATTTATCATATGAAATTACTAATAATATACTAAGCAACAAATATCAAATTCTTAAATGAAAGATTTATATTTTTTTCATCTATTTATTTTTTCTTAACGAGACATTACTTAAAGGAATGCCACTGCAGAACTTATAACTAGAAATTAATAAATTGCATCTTAACGTAATATCATAAACCATAATTTCTAAGTATCATTTTTCAGCACTGATTTACTATCAAAAGCATCTGTAACAATAACATCAACAGTTTACAACAAAACGAAGTGTAAAAAAATACAAGGATATCATACTAATAATCTTTACAATATCATTTCTAGAACATGTGCTTCATTCTAGCACAATATTAATGAACCCTGAAGAAATTACTTCAACCAATTTATTGCACTCAGTCAAAAGTACAACTATACATTTCAATAGAAAAAAAAGAAAGGTGGAATTAAAGTTCATTTATGCGTCGAACAGATTCTAATTATCCTTGACAATGAAAAGATCACACATTGCTTAATATAAGAACGAGATGGCCACAATAAGAAATAAAATCTGTAATATATCAAACTCATCAAGAGTTCATCTGATGAGCAAATAACCAAAATAGATGATGACCTCTAAACATTACAATTCAATTTAATTTTTTCTTGTAGCTGTCTCCTTTTTATCTCTATGTCCACATTACAATGTGTGTTTATGTTCATTGCTTACGATCATATAGCAATTTGCATTAACACATCATAAAATTCCTGCTCTTTCTCCAGCATGTGCTTCATCCTTCACTGAGTACCTGCAGCTGAAACTAATTTTTGTTCAACCTTAACTCAAAGTTAGTCACAACTGTGCCATACAGAAACAGAGAGCAGTAACTCATTACTGGCTTCACTGAATGATTAGTTGGTTACAATAAACATAAGGATATTATATAGGGTTCTTGTGAGATAACCCATGCGAGAGATATAACCCGTTTGATCTTGTATGAAAGGTATTATGATTATGAGCTCATTTAATACTGTAGAAAAGCTTTATAAAGAAATCACACCTGACGAAAAATTCTGGCTCACCTTTTGTGAGAAAACACTTCCATACATACTTTGGGAAGGAATGCTGCAGTTTGCAGAATTATAATGATCCATTATTGCATGCTTGGACCTTTGTTGATATATACATACATACATATATATAATATACATATATATATATAAATGTGTATGTATACATGTGCATGTGTGGGTATGGGTGTGTGTATATGTGGGGGGGGGGGGGTTGAGTGTGTGAATGTGAGAAGTGTGTGTGTGTGTGTGTGTGTGTGTGTGTGTTGTGTGTGTGGTGTGTGTGTGTGTGTGTGTGTGTGTGTGTGTGTGTGTGTGTGTGTGTGTATAAAACCATAAAAAAAAAATAAAAAAAAATAAAAAAATAAAAAAAAAAGAGAAGGAAAAAAAATCACTAAAGTTCCTCTTTCTTCACAGAATCCTGCTCGGCTTTTTCTTTTCCTTTTTCTGAAACCGTCTCCTTTATTGGTTCCTTCTCCTGCATCGAGGGTTCTGCTGTAGTTTCTTCCTTCTTTGCTTCCTCAGCCTCCTTCGCTGAACTTACCTCGGCTTCCTTGGGCGTCGGTTGCTCTTCTTCAACCCTCACTGGTTCCTTCTCTGGAATACTTTCTGCTACTGTCTCTTCCCTGGATTCCAACTTTGTCCCTTCCGCTGCCTTGACACTCTTTTCCTCTTCATTCTCATCAGCTTCTTTCTTCTGTTCTTCCATCTTTGACTCTCCTTCTTTCTCTTCTGCCTCGTCTTCCTTCTTTCCCTCCGGTTCCTTCTCCTCATCTTTTTCCACCATCCTGACACCCTTCCCTTCCACCTCCAAGGACGGGACCCCAACATACAGCCGGCCAAGATACTTGTTGTAAGGCGAGCCAAAGAATATATTATCCCCTATTTTGTTTGTTTGAGAGATGAAACGGAGACGGCCACTGTTCCCTTGCATTGAGCCGTCGATGTTTCCTTCTGCATCAAGTTCCACTACAATTGTCTTGTTGGATGCCATGTGTTGAGCAATTGGCTCCAGGTTGAAAATCTGTAAATTCATAAGGAATTTTGTAAAAGAATATACATAGATATGTACATACATACATACATCTATATATATACATACATATATATATATATACATACATCATACAAACATACATACATCTATATCTATATCTATATCTATCTATATCTATCTATCTATCTATCTATCTATCTATCTATCTATATCTATCTATCTATCTATCTATCTATCTATATATATATATATATATATATATATATATATATATATATATATATATATATATATATATATATATATATATATATATATATATATATATATATATATATCATACATACATACATCTATATAAAATAGTATATATATATATATATATATATATATATATATATATATATATATATATATATATATATATATATATATATATATATATATATATCATAATTTTAAAATCAGTATTTTTATTAAGAACATCAAAGGACTGTGAACAATATACAATGCATTACTCCTATCATTCCTATCACTTTTATGAAAGGGAGGTTTTAGCAAAGAATAAGACCCTTTATAGACATTATAAAAACACACACACGCGCGCTCGCAAGCACACATATTCACCTTGAATGAAATATCTTCTGTAAACTTATTGGGATAGATCTTAGACACAGTATCAAACACCATCTTGGCAAGGTTCACAAAGCGCAGAAGAAGTTTCCTCAACCATGGCAGCTTGGTAAGGAACTTCAGCTCATCAAAGGCCTCTGGGGACTTGACTGCCACAAGGGATACGTAATATCCACCCTCATTCCTATTTCGGAGGTTGTCAGGCATTCCAGGCAGTCGGTCCACAAAGATTTCTGATGCTCCAGCTTTGGGACCTTGTAACCAGTACCTGGAAAATAGGGAGATAGAAAGAGTTAGAACTAAAGAGTGCATGACTAATTTTTATTTACGTAATCTCGTATCAAGATTGACATGTAGTTTATATTTAGATAAACATCATAAACTCTAAATGTGCAATAGTAATCTAACTGAACATCTTGGTAGATATAATGTATACTATTTACTTTTTTTCTGAAGTTATACTAATCACATTACTGTCCTGAAAATTATTTACAGTTACTCTGGTTTGATACAGACATAAACACAGAAACTTATCCCCATCTGCAAATATTTCGCATAACTAGTATGCCTTTAAAGACTCAAGTAATTAAAGTCAAATTTTTGCCGAAGTCAAATTCAGTCACCCAATCACCTCTTACCTCCAGACACGTTTCTGGAAGGTTTCGCACACCAAAACGAAGTCATGATCTGGTGATAGCTGGACCCCATTGGCGAAGTGGATGTTCTTCATCAGCACTGTGTTCTTCTTTGTCTTTGGGTCAAATTTGATTAGCCTAAAAGACAAAAGTAAACCAATACAGTTACACTTACATGAATGACAAATAACGAAGTATCATTAGGCAGCGAAATGAGCATAAAATAATGAAGAACTTCCAGAGAATCTATGTCAAGCATTGCTACTAGAAATTATCTTAATTTCATCTTAGAAAGTGATGAGTCTTCACATTTACAATACCTTTTTCTCTAATAAGCATCTTGATATGAATAACACAAAAAAATAAAAAAGTAATAACTCAAGCAAAGAACCACTTATTCAAATATACACCAAAAGGTTGCCTTAAAGGCAAAAGTGTCTTCTAGCTTAGCATCGCATCTAAAAGACAACAAATTTATGATCTAGAGAGTTCTTTCACACACAAATAATTACTTTGCATATCATCATCATCATCATCTGGGGGCTAACGCCGACAGGGGCGCATGGCCGCATCCACCAACTGGTTCCACTTTTTGGGGTCCCTCATGGCAAGCGGCCAGTTAGGGACTCGACCCATCTCGAGCTCCTCACGACAGGTTTGATCGATCTGCCCAAGCCACGACCTCCTAGGTCATCCCACAGGCCTCCTCCACCCAGGGCTGTCTCGTACAGAGACAACCTGGTGGGCAGGATCATCCTGGCGGAAGCGATCCAGGTGGCCGTATAGCCTGAGTTAGCGATCCTGGATTGTGCAGGTGACAGGTCCTGTGCCAGTCTCACGGTGCAACCATTGATTGGACACGTGGTCCCGCCAATTGTACTCCATGATCCGGCGCAAGGACCTATTACAGAAGGCATCAAGACGAGAATCCAAGGCACTGGATAATGTCCAGGTTTTACTACCGTATAGCAAAACTGGCATTATCAGGGCCTTGAAAACCTGTAGCTTGGTCCTTCTGCACAGGTACCACATAAATCCTGTATATTCTTTCTAAGAACATGATCACACAAGCATACACATGAGAGCACACACCTGCCACTTGGGTCACTCAGCATCTCTATTATGCCATCAGAAAGGTCAGCGCTGATAGAGGCATCTGACCAGTAAATGTTGCCCTCGGAATCAATGTCAAGGTCGTCCAGCAACTTTGGAGCCACACCATCAATTTCTTCCAAGGGATCAAAAAGTCTTTCTTTTTCACCTGAAATATAGGAAGGAGTTATCATTCAAGAACTAAAATATACAAATATGTTTTAAGACAAAAGCTGCTATTTTGTTCTGATATTTACGTTTATCTTCTTGCCCTTTCGAAGATTTTCCAATAAGTCCAAAACAAATTAAGCAATGTTTATATCAGTGTTTCCTTAATTGTTTTGGATGTGACCCTGAACACACTTTCTGGTCTGGAAACACTCATGTGGAAACATAATTTCAATACCTATGGCTTTCATTATTCACAGAACTATTTTCATGTCCCACAATTGCAAGGTAAATATATTTATACTATTTTGTAAAAATTACACTTTCCATTCTCAATTTCATTTACCTATTCATTTCTTATTCATACACTCTAGGACTCTTATAAATAATGCTCCTTTAAAAGAAGTCGCAAAGGACCATTACTTAATCCCTAAAGTTCTATTTGCCATGGTCATGGATCATACAATATGAACTCAGTCCTATTTGCCCTGAACGCAGAGAGCTTTCCAAATATTGCATGCAATTTTTCCAAAGCCTTTTTCATCATGATTGAGAAATATGTAGCATCCATTAATATACCAGGTACTTCAGCCGCAAGACCTCCATAGCCCTGATGACTTTTTACCAATGAGATGTACGGTGCATCTATTATTAATTCATCAGGTAGGGTTTGGAATGTTACCTTTATCTACACCTACACATCCCATGTGTGTGTTATTTACATCCCCAGAGTAATCTATCCCATTTTCATTCAAACATTCGGGATACCTTTGATCATCTATAATTTGTACATAACTAAACATTATGTATTAGCCTTATGACAAGAAAATTTATATTTCCTGGCGAATAAAATGTCTGCATTCAGAATTTCCACCATAGTGATGCTTGAGAAAAGAAAAGAAGAAGAAGAAGAAGAAAAAAAAAAAAAAAAAAAAAATTGTGGTCACAGTTTGCTGTTCTAAGGGGGGGGGGGGATAATGATGATGACAATATCTATCATTCTTACAAACAATTGCACATGAATAGAACTGTATACCTGTTTCCACATCGACTGAGAAGAGTCCCAGGTATGCATCAGCCACCAGCAGCCGGCCATCGGGAGCAAAACGCAAACCGAGAGGACGTCCGCAGATTTTCTCCTGCCATGGTCCATCTTAAAAATTAGATGATATTTATAAAATAACTGATTGATGATTAATTTTCACAGTAAGGAATAAATCTAGTGTTTCATGTACAGCTTTAAGACTGCTGTGAGTACGATGATGAATATGAAAATAGCTTTAAGTGTGTATAAACCAAATTTACTAGAAACACAATTAAAGCATATTAAACAAATTTCTGAATTCTATTTATTAC